AATAAAATAAAAAAAAAACATTAAATTACGAACTATAATAAATATAAAATCCTAAAATTTAATTGTATAATTTCAATCTCCGGTAACGGCGCCAAAAACTTAATGTGCAGGTTTAATGTATCTAAACTAATAAACTAATAGAATAAATTAAACTCAGTTATAATTGCAAGTGAACGAGTCTATAGTAATATAGCTTTGCAAATACGAGTCGATCCCACAAGGATTGAATATTGACACAAATAAACTATAGAATCGAATTAAACTAATTCGGAGAAAGGGGTTTCTGAATATTCTAAAATATAATTAAACTAATATTAAAGCAAATAAATAAATTAATTAAATTCAAGGGAAGAGAAGCATAGGACTTTCGAATCCACCCTAAATCTCTATAGAATAATTTCAATCTAAACTAAAATGTTCTTGTAATTTTTGCAAGTAGCACGATGAATGATCTTTCATTGCTTTACCTATAAGCGTGACATAACAAGTTATCATAAAAGTATCTTCTTAACTCAACCAAATGGATAAATCTAAAGCATTATCTATCTTGTTACGGCATAGATAATCCATAGATAATCAAAAGACTTAACACAAACAATGATAAATATGCTTTGATTACTAATAAATAATTCAAATTACCTAATATGCATCACTTACAAGGTTGTACAGTAGGTTGGATGATCCATTCCTTCTGCTCAAAGCTAGGTCGTGCGGTGCCACCTCCCATTACTAACCTGGTCGCATCCTGCCACCCTTGTCGCCTAACGCGACCTTTTATGCTCAATCTGGTTGCCTCACATATGTTGTAGTTTGTGATATTTTTCGACAGTTGATCTGAATTTTTATTTAACAAAGAAAACATACCAAGATAGTGAAATTTGTCGTATAATGCATCAAAATACTATATATCTAAGTGCAACAAATGTCGTATTTTCATATCTATCAGGTCCTTAATTATCACAACTCGCAATGTGTCTAGTTTACTAATTCAAATCTACCAGGATTCACTACACTTATACATAAGTTATATTTTATTAATTAAATAATACTTAAATAACATGTGGTGCGTTGTGATTAGAACTACAAGATCACATACAATAACTCCCCACATACTACATTCATTCATATTATAGGTTCCGAAGCACACATGTAACTCTGTCATATCAGGAGATGAACGAAATGCAACAATATCTTGAGTCTCATTTGAATATATTTTTTTTGGGCTAAAAAATCATGGGATGGGCTTGGATGCTTTGTCTCATGGAAAAAAGGTTTGTTTTAAAATAACTAATTTATGACAAAATGATTTGTTTTTTTTAATTTTATTTTGTTACTAAAATATTTTTGTAATTGAGAGATGATTGATATATCCCAAATTGAAATGCTTTTGTTAATAGATACGGCAATGCATTAACTAGGGTTTTTTTTACCTAAAATATGAGAAATTTGCTAAAATGTTTCCACCGTAGTTCAAAATGTCAAGGATATTCTTAGATATCCAACAAATTATGGCGATTATTTAGGAATCAAATATGCTGATATTCATGGATATTCACATTGGCATGGCCTTTATTTTGGTTTCTAATGTTAAAATCTCGACAAAATTTATTTTTTAAGATTTGAAATTTCATTCGAAATCGACATTTTGAACTATGGTTTCCACACTTACATAACTAGCATATGGGATAGGCGAACCCAAAGAACATTCAACATTAGGGTATCTCAGCGCATGAATTAATCCGTGACTCTTTTATATTAATTATAATTAGAAATTTATGGACATAGTGGATTTCAGATATGTTCTTCTAAAAAAAATAAATTTAAATATACCCTAATATAAGGGCATCTTCGATGGTTGAGCCATTGGAGTATAATAGTAGCTCCACCTTTGATTATAGCAGCCTAATCTGGATACTTTAGTAGTCGTATAAATTTAGCCTTTAACCAAGCTTAACAATAATTGCTAAAATTTTGTTATAATTCGTTGTTGCACTGCAAGTGGAATGCAGTATCACAAGAGTAATATGGTTTGATACTTCGATAGCAGTTAGGCTGTTAGTTTGGGCCTAATCTAAGTTCGTACCGCAAGTAGAACATGACACTGCATACAAAATACGACCTGAGATCTAACTTTACAGCTTCCTCATTCTGCTAGTTCAACAGTTAAATTTACCCGTTGACCTAATAAAATGAGGAATCTTTTTAGCCCAACCATTCGAAATGCCTTGAACCAAATATAAAAATACATTTGGCCCAAACATTCGAAATGCCCTGAACCAAATATAAAAATACATTTGGCCCAACCATTCGAAATAACCTAAACCATCCAACCTAACTACTTTATGATATACTTTACTCTATTATATACCATTCGGAATGCCCTAAACCAAATATAAACATACATTAGCCCAACCATTCGAAATGCCCTAAACTATCTAGCCTAACTACTCTATGATATATGGTCATAAATTTCTTCTATCTTTAAATGGCTATATATCTAATTACTAACAAAGGAGGTCCTTTATGAGTCGGGTAGGGATAAAAGAATAAGTGATGTCCGTCCCATTTTTTTTTTCTTTGCTTTTGCCTT